AGCTCGGGCCTCCACCCAGTCCCGGCCGCAACTGCAAGCTCCGACCAGAAGGGGGGGACCTCGTCCACCGAATGCACAACTGCTGCGAGTCTTTCGCGAATCCTGGGTCTGGGCTCCAGCCTGATGGGGCGTCGGGGTGGAGGACACGGGGAGTCTCTCAGGCCTGGGTTCCCTAGGGCCACCAGGAAACAGCTATTCTCAGCGAACTCCCACCCCACTATCCGACACGGGGTGCAGAAGAGAGGGAATCCCTTTCTCAGTTTCCACAAGACTTAGATGCAGGCACAGCCATGACTGGGAGGCTGGCCTCTCCCCCCACTCCCCCCCCCCAAGCCCAGCAACTAGCGTACTAGCGTTCCTTTCTCTGACAGGTGGGCCGGTGGGGGGACAGACCTTCAGGGGTGGGTGAGGCACCCAGTCCGAGGGAGTTACCGGCTCCACAAGAGGGAGAGGGTCACCTAGGGTTTTGGACGGACAAGTTGAGGCAGCCGGGCTTTGTGGCCAGCAGAGGGCGCTGTGCTCCGCGGTGGCTGATCCTCCACGTGCTGCTAGCTCCGGGCCCACAAAGACCTGCGCGCGGCGGAGCGCGCACACCCAACCCCGCACATCCACACCGACCTTCAGGCGCCCAGGGGCTGCGTTTTCTCGGCATGCGCTGCTCACTCCGTGCGTTTGACAGCCACGCCAACCCCCATTCGTGTTTGGGCTCCATGTGCTCTCCGAGAGGCACACGTGTGTGTCACACCCGAGCGTACATGCTCAGTCACCCCTCTAACCTCCGCTCCACCTGGAGATGGGGCCCAGGAAGAGCCTTGATTCTCCTCTAGGGGGCTTCCTGCCCCTCCCGCTCCCCCTCTGCCCAGGAGCCGCCAGTTTTCACCAGGTAGGAAAGTAGACATGGCGACATGGTGGAGAGATGGAGAAGGACTGGGGTAAAGGCAGAGAATGGTCAGAAGGTTGGCTTTCTAGAGGGATGGAAAGGAGGGGTTGCTGGAGGGCCAGCTCTCTCGGCCCCTCTCTGAGTCTCAGTTCCCTCCCTGTGCGGAAGAGATCAGACTTCCTTACCTGTCACGCTTTGTGGGGTTGGTAAGATGATGTGAGGGACGCTGTCTCGAATTCCCTTTCTGTCATGCGCTTATTGTCTCCCCTCCTCTCTTCTGATACCTTCATCCTTCTTGCCCCCCCACCTCCCCCAAGCCCTGGTCCTCAGTCAGAGCTCACAGTGCCCCTTGTGTGTGCCCACATGTGTGTGTGTGACATGTGTGTGCGTGCACACGAACACCCTTCCCACGGAGATGCCCACCCCATCAGTCTGGGGAGCCCAGAGACAGGCCTCCGGGAGGTTACGAGCACACAGCCGCCAGACAGGCAGCCAGGTGTAGGGCCTCAGCGAAAGGCCTCTGAGCATGAGTGACCTCAAGGTGTGGCGCTAGAGCCCAGGACAGGCTGGGCCTGGCAAAGTGCTGGCTGGAACTGGACCAAGCCCTGGCCAATGCCTGGCTGGCCCCAGGGGGTGAAAGACCTGTCCCAGGCCAGGCAGGGCCCCAAGAGGCTCTGTTCTAGGCCAGCCAGAAACAAGGGTGACCACTGCTCTTAATGCTCTCAGCCTCCAGGGTCCAGAGCAGAGGCCACAGGGGCTGCTTGTCCTGGAGCTGCCACAGCAACCAAGACCTTCCCACCCCGGCCAGTCCTCACAGCTGTCTCACCAGAGAGGAGAGGAGAGTGGCAATTCTAATAACCAACATTTTCTGACTCAGAGACACTCTCCTAGGTACTAGCACATTTACTCCGAATGACACATGGGGAGGTGGGAATTTTAATCTCCATTTTATAAGGGGAGAAACAGAAGTTAAGCATCGGTTAGGGGTGCAATGTGCATGGCAATGTTCAAATGCTTTCTCTTGTGTCTTATCAAAGGTCTCAGCAGAGAGACTTTCCTGTCATGTGGTGCCTGGTATACAGGCACAGAAACTGAGGCTAGGTAAGATGTAGGGACTGGTGTCTGTCCCCAATCCCTGTATGGCCCTGTCCAAGGGGATGGAAGAAGAGAGATGCCCTAGAGGTTCTTTGGGACAGCCCCTAGGCAGGGAACCAACCCACTGTGTCAGGGAGGAATGTCACCCACACTGCCCATTCCTTCATTCCTCGAGTATTTTTTGAAAGAATCCTCTAAGCCAGGAAAGCACGGGAGCCTGTGCTGGAACAGTGGTGGCAGTGAGGACCAAAGCCAGAAAGTAGCCTCTGGCTTTCTTTGCTCAAGCCCAACTTCTCCACACAGCTTGCCCTGATTCTGCTGGAACGGAATATCAGGACAGACTTCATGGAGGAATTGGACTTGAACAAAGTCTTAAAAGAGAGACAAAGAGGAAAGGCATTCCAAATTCATGGTCTCTCCACTATTTCAGGATTACCTCGCATGTTATAAGAAGAAGCCAGGAGAGGGAGAAGTGCAAACCACAGATGATACTAGGGATGGCTAAGAGATGGCCCCCATTGCTCAGAGAGCCAAGAACACCGGGAGGGGCCCTGGACTCAACAAGAGAGAAGGGCTGCCGCTTCTCCAGGGGCACAGGGAAGCTGGTGAGGGCATGGGGCAGCTACCAGTGAGTGTGTGGCTGGGAGGAAGGGTGGGAAGAAGTATTACTTGCTAGCTTGGCTTTCCGGGTGGGACAGGAAGCAAGCTGATCTGCTAGAGGAAAGCCAGAGAGAGTAGGGAAAGTTGAAGTAGGCCTTAAAGAATGGGGAGGGAGACGCCGAGGGATGGCATGAAGATTGTGGAACAGAGCTGCGATCCCTGCTGAGGCCAGAGACCGTGGACTTGTCATGGCAGCAGTCTGCGTGGCCGGGCAAGCGTCCCCAGCAGTGCTCAGCAGGGCCCACGGTAGGCAGAGGGGTGCGAGGAGAATGAGAACGGAGAGATGCAGGTGTGTGGTGGGGGTGGGAAGAAAAGGGAGGTAGGACAGTGGGACACCAGGTGGGATGCCAGGGCACCTGGCTGGAGGAGGTAGCATCAAGCCAGGGGCCTGGGAGAACAGAAAGGGGATGGGGGAGGAATTTTACTGTGACTGAATGGCGGAGTGTGGGTGGACAGAGCCTGTGATCAGAGCTGGGATGTTGCACTGGAAGATTTCAGAGGGCCCGGTCCCAGGTGAGAGTGGGTCTAAGACCATAAGAATAGCCAGCTGAAAGGAAGCAGATATGAAAGTCACCTGCCTCCAGGAGGTCAAGAAGCCACTGAAGCACAGCCAGCCCAACATCGGGCCACCCACTCCTCCTGCTTCATCGCTCTCCAATAAAAGCACAGGCTTAGCTAAAAAAGAAAAAAAAAAAAGGAAAGGAAAGAAACTTTTATTCACTCATTCATTCGTTCGACAATTACTTATTGAGCACCTACTATGACCAATCCCTGTGCAAGACACTACATGTAGGGATGAGAAAAACTTGGCTCCTGCTCCCTCAGGAGTTCACCGCCTCACTGGGGAGACACAGTGACACCTTGACAACATCCCATGGTGAATGGAGTGCGGGAAAATGCCCAGGTGTGGTGGGAGCACACATAGGGGCCTCACCCAGGAGGGGGGTAGGTGACATCAGAGCTGAGCCTTAGGGATGGGTTAGAAGTTACCCGAGCAAAGGAAATGGGAAGGGCTCCCCAAGAAGAAGAGAGAGCATCCTCCAAGAAGTGACCTGTTTGGAGTGTTCCAGAACTGCTGGCCTTTTGGTAAGGCCAGAGGATCAAGAGCAAGGCAAGGTGTGGGGAGAGGTGAGGTAGGAGGAGCAGGATCCCAGAGGGCCTTGGAGGCTGCACGGAGCTCACCGAGGGGACAGAGGCTTTGAAGGGGTTTTAGCAGAGGAGCAGCAGGATCAGATTTGCATTTTAGAAAGATCACTGTGGCTGCAGTGTGGATAATTGATTGGAGCAGAGCAAGGGAGCAGACAGAGAGAATGGTTAAAGGCTGCAGGGCAGCAGGGGTGGCAAGAAGAGAGCGCAGTCAAGAAATATTCAGGGCTCAAAATCAGCAGGACTCGGCGCCTTTAGTGGACGAGGCAGGAGGGCGAGAGGGGTCAAGGGTGCTTCCCGGGTGCCTCCAACTGAGCTGGAGGAAACAGTAGGAGTGCGTTTGGGGGAAAGGGAGAGAGGAGGATCTCATTTTGAGACAGGTTGCGTTTGAGGGGCCTGAGGACAACCAGGGACATCCACTGGGCAGGTAGAAATGTCCAGGGGTGAGGTCCTGGCACCCAGATGTGGTTAACAGGTGAAGATGTTATTTTAACAGCTCAGCAGATTCTTCTTAGGTGGGAAATACCTTTGTTGGAGTAAATACCTTGATATACTTCTAAAGATAAAAGGACAGAGCCTAGCCCTAGCCGGTTTATTTCAGTGGTTAGAGCATGGGCCTAAGAACTGAAGAGTCCTGGGTTTGATTTCAGCCAAGGGCTTGTACCTCAGTTTCAGGCTAGATTCCTGGCCCTGGTCAGGGCTCATACAGGGGGAAACCAACTGATGTGTCTCTCTCACATCAGTCTCCCTCCCTCCCTCCCTCCCTCCCTCCCCTCTCTCTGAAAAGCAATGGAAAAAATATCCTTGAGTGAAGATTCAAAAATAAAAAAAGGAAATTGGAAAAAAAAAAAGACAGAGCCTAGAGCATGGTGCCCTTAGGGCCTTAGGGCCAGCATAGCCACAAAAATGGCTCAGCTGCCCTGTGCAAGACCTAAGAAGTATTGTTTTGGCCCCTGAAGAGAAG